TCGGTGTATCATCACTAGTGTTGGTTGTCGGTTGAGAAATTATGAGTGGAGTCGTGTCGTTCGATTGTACCGAAGGAAAATCGACGTAGATAGGATTTCCTTCTAAATACGCTGCTTTGAGGCGATCGATGCTGATGCTATCGTTGGTTCCGTTCTTATCGATTATATAGTACTTCGGTTCGGGTTGAAGAACTTTGGAAGGTCCTTCGTATGCTGATTCGAATGGTCGTCGATGCGAGTCTCGACGAACGAAAACGTGTGTACTATATCGTAAGTCAGGTTGAACGAAAACATCAGTTGATTGAGGTCGAGTGGAAGCAGGTTTAACTGAACGCATTGCGTTTGTAAGCCTGTTCGTGTAGGAGGTTAGATCCATGTTCATTGAAGAGGACGAAGGATCCACGAATTCTCCTGGAAGTCGAAGTGTCGTTCCATAAACGAGTTGAGCCGCAGTGTATCCAATGTCAGCTTTCACTGCATTGCGGATACCTAGTAAGACGAGTGGAAGAGCGTCGGTCCACTGTGAAACGTTTGCAGCTGATAGTGAAGCTTTTAGTTGTCGGTGAAAACGTTCTACCAACCCGTTTGCTTGTGGGTGGTAGGCAGTCGTTCGGAAGCGAGTGATTCCTAAAAGTGTGGTCAGACGACGGAAAAGTTCAGATTCAAACTGACGTCCGCGGTCTGTAGTGATGGTTGAAGGGCAGCCGAAGTTTGCTACCCATCGTTCGACGAATGTGCGGGCCACTGTTTCAGCAGTGATGTCCTTGATAGGTACTGCTTCTGGCCATCGAGTGAAACGGTCTACGCAGGTTAAGAGGTAAGAGTATCCATTTGAATCTGGTAAAGGTCCTACCAAATCCAGATGAACATGGTCGAAACGAGCATCGGGAGTTTTAAACGAGCCTAAGGGACATTTATTGTGTCTGATAACCTTAGATTTTTGGCAGCTTACACAGGAGCGTGCCCACTCCCTCACGTCTTTATTCATGCCAGGCCAGCAAAACCGTTCTGCTATAAGCTTGATGGTTGCACGAACACCTGGATGAGAAAGTTTGTGCAATGTATTGAAGACATTGCGTCGATAATGTTTCGGCACGATTGGGCGATCCCTACCTGTAGATGTGTCACAAAGTAAGGTTTCCTTACCTGTTCCCATCTGTTTGATGCGTAGTTTAAGTGTTGTGGACGATAACTCGTGCTGAAGATCAGTGTCTTCTTTTTGAAGCTCGGCGAGTTTAAGAAGGTCGATTCCTTGGAAACTGTTCAAGGAAGTTATGCGAGATAAGGCGTCTGCAACTACATTGTTTGCTCCAGAAATATGTTGAATATCTGAAGTAAACTGCGAAATGTAGTCCAGTTGTCGAGACTCACGGGGAGAGTACTTGTCAGAAGGAGAGCTTAACGAGAAAGTGAGCGGTTTATGGTCCGTGAAAAGAGTGAATTCACGGCCTTCGATATAGTGTTGGAAATGCCGTACAGCACAATACATAGCTAGGAGTTCCCTACCGAATGTGCTGTACCTCGATTCGGTGTCTAGCAACCTTCTAGAGAAAAATGCCAAGGGTTGCCAGGAGTTGTTAACCCATTGTTGTAAGACTCCTCCGATTGCCGAGTCGGATGCGTCTACTGCGATGCTAATGGGTGCTTCGGTGTCCTGATGTGCGAGCATTGTTGCTTTAGCGATCAGTTCCTTAACTGTGGAGAATGCTTTTCGTGCGGTGTCGTCCAAATTAATGGATTTCGCATTTCCACGAAGTTGGTCGGTCAGAGGTTTCATAAGTAATGCGCAATTCGGTATGAAACGTCTATAGAAACTTACCAGGCCGTTAAACGTGCGTAATTGCTTGACGGTGGTCGGTTCTGGGTAATCCAGAATGGCCGCCACTTTGGTTCTAAGGGGTCGGATACCTTGAGCATCGATAGTGTGTCCCAGAAAGTCTAATGAGTCGGTTCCGAATTGGCATTTCTGAACGTTTACAGTAATGCCATGTTTTTGTAATCGTTCGAAAACAAGATCCAGATGCTTGAGATGTGTTTCTCTGTCCGGACTTGCGATTAGACAGTCGTCAACATACGCGTGTACGAAGTTGAGACCTCGAAAAACGTCGTCTATGAATCTTTGGAATGTTTGAGCAGCATTCCTTAGACCGAAAGGCATTCGCAAAAATTCATAGAGTCCGAAGGGAGTTATGATAGCTGTTTTCGGTATGTCGTCAGTAGCCATAGGGATTTGGTTATACGCTTTAACCAAGTCGATTTTCGAAAAGACAGTTGTACCTTTCAAGGTAGCTGTCAAATCGTGAATGTGAGGCAACGGGTAACGATCGGGAATGGTTTTCGCGTTCAATCGCCGATAGTCGCCAGTTGGACGCCAATCGTTGCTGTCCTTTTTAGGGACCATGTGCAACGGAGATGCATATGGGCTACTTGACGGTCGTATGATTCCTAAGTCCATCATGTGATCGAATTCGTTTTTCGCTAACCTTAGCTTTTCAGGAGCTAGTCGTCGTGCTTTAGAGAATACAGGTGGTCCTGTAGTCGTGATGTGATGTGTAACATTGCTGGTTACACACGGTAGTTTCGGTTGCGTTTGTTGTATCCCAGGGTACTTATCGAGTAGTGGCTGATAGAGTGGGTCTATCATATGTTTAATTGTGACTGGGGATACTCTACAACCAGTAAAAGAAGTTACGCAAACGGACAAATTAGTGTTTCCGTCTACTAGCCTCCGTTTGCGAGTGTCGATGATCAGATTGTGGTGTTGTAGAAGGTCCATACCAATGATTGGCATAGAAACATCTGCAACAACGAAAATCCAGTGGATGGGTTTGCGTAAACCCACGTTAAGGTAAACGTACCTTTTGCCATACGTAGCGATCGGTTTTCCGTTTGCCGCCTGTAAGTTTAGAGTCGATTCGTGAAGTCGGTCGTTAGGATTTGCTGGGAGAACGCTAACTTCTGCGCCAGTGTCGACGAGGTAGCGAACTCTCGTTGTCACATCTGTGACGTATAACAGACGGCTTTGTTCGCCGGCTACGGTTGCCGTTAACGCGTGCCGGCTTGGAAGTTTCCCGATTTGTTTTTCGAGTCAGTCGGTTTCGTGTTGGGAAAATTGCAGGGTTTTCTGCAATTTCTGGAAAACTTTCCATACTGGTTATGATACCAGCACCAGTCGGGGTTATCTGTCTCTCGTGGTCTAGAGACAGATCGCTTACGTGAAATGCTTCTACGTGGAGTGCGCGATCTCTTACGGTCGTTACGAAGATTTAGATAACGCGTGAGTGTATGACATAACTGAAAAAACCTCTGTAGTAGAAGATTTCGTAATTTCTAGAATGCGGTCGGCAGATGCAGCTAGCTCGTCTAAAGCGTTGTTCTGAAACGAGACCAGAACTGCTTGCACCTGTTGGGGAAGTTTTGACAAGAAAAGTTGTTTGAATAGGCCTTCGTCGAACGTTCTTGGGCCTATAACCTCTCTCATCCGTTGCAACATGTCCGTCGCAGAACCGTGTTGCAGGTTGATGTTATTGAAGAGTTGATCTAACCTATGTCGATCGGTTAAGTCTCCTCGTCTAAGAATCGAACGTTTCAAGATTTCGTAAGGTTCGGAAACATCACTAGTAAACATACTAGGTGTTACGTACCTGTTGAATTCCCGTGGTAGTGCCTTGACTACTGCAAGGAATTGTGCACGTGTGTCGATCACGCCGTGCTCGGAGAAGTCGGCTTTTGCGTAGCAAAACCAGGCTTCGATGTTGTCGGGCCAGAAAGGCATGAGTTGAAACGAAGGCGGGGACAAAGTCTAAAGCTTGAGTACTTTGGGGGTCTGTTCAGTCATGATGAAATATGAAGCACGATAATGAACGAGGGGGAAAATATATATATATCCAAGAAAAAACACGAAACAATCACAATGTTTAGAAAATAAAAAATAAGTCAATTATATATAAAAATTTCAAAAAGGAACAGACTCACAGTTGCAATTAGGTGTACCAGATCACGTCGGTCTCACCAGTGAAGATGACACAGGTATTCAGTGTTTGACAACGCTTCTACCAGTAACACCTAATATATTTCGTTCCCACCGAGAGAAATCAAAAGACAGAGTCGGGGAGATCGGAAGAGTGTATTTGGCGATAACCAATATATCGGAATTTCACTGATCTAATCTGGCTAGCGATTGCGGTTGATGTTGAGCACGGCGTTACCACACGTGATCTGGTGCGGATGCCTGACCGAGCGCCTTCAGCTAGATGAGTCCACTAAAACATATGGTCAGCATCCAATGTCGAAAACTTACAGGGCTATTTATTTTGGGGATTTATTTACCGCTACATTAGCTCCTCTCTTGAGGTTCCCATGCTGCAAGATTTCTTCGTGCTTCTTTGAACAAAACCGGTACAACTCTCACTCCGTGTATAAGCATTTTATTTTTCATGACCAGAATACAACATCCCTCCAAAATATAACCGTTCCAATCGAGCTTGTGTTGAATGGATTTCATATATTCCGAGCATCTTCATATTGTGTTTTCTTATTGCTGCAATTATTTGACTGGTCCTCCTAGTCTCCCACATTGTGCGAACGTTCCATGTACGCATAATAATTGTTGTTCTGATTGTTAGAACGTACATTTGTCTCACGACTTCTGAAGAATATCCGCTCTCACCATGAGGTTTCATGATTCTTCTGGATGAAGACCCTTAAACACGGAACGTAGTGTATAAAGTGCTTATTTTTCATTTCAGTTGGAGTTTTTAGCAAGGATTTTTCTACGGTTGTTGTTGCTGACCACTTTTGCAACTCTTCTTCTTTACCCGTGGTTGTGACCATCGGTATCCCAAGAACTGTTTGTAGAGCTTTGCTTTCAGATAAAAATCGCCTACATAATCAAGGAAACGCAATTATATGTTTCGAGTTTAATAGAGTAATGATGGGACAACATCTATTTGTAAGTAATATGACGTTAGGAGTTGTTTCAATATATCACTGGTATTGGCGATATAATCATTTTGTTCTTGCTGACCTTGACGTTTGTTGTTAGGTTCTCAAGTTGCCCAGTGGTATTTAAATGTTAGTGTAGGATAGTGCGACAGCCGTGAGAGAAATAAGTAGTTGAGCCTATGTTTTAATACTGGTAAGCGCAATTAGTTTCCATTTGCTACAGTTCTGGCCAAAGTTAAAACATTTAATATTTGAATGTCAAGTACTACAGCAATACTTTAAAATCATCTTGCATCAAACGAAAATAACTTGTATTAAATCATTATGAGGTCAAAATAAAATATACAACTCTCGACTACTTAATATCACTATTCATCAATTTTTCTGTCGCTCACATCGTTATTACAAGCTTGTTGTTGTTCGGTTTAAGTTATTTTACATTAGTATGTCAGTTCGATCTTTGCATGTTGTTTTTTATCTGGTTATATGTCTCATAGGTAGGTATTTTAACGGAATACAGCTTGAGATTGCTTTTATTTAAAACAGGATGTCAATTTAGTCAGCTTTTGGCATTCCTCAGTACTGAATAAGTGTGTGAAAATTATTACATGGGTGCATATTTTCATTGTTATGGTATTTCCGTAAGTTCTTTTAGTCAACTCTGCATGGTGGCGAATTCAGTGTCTTCCACAATTACTCGTTCATCCTTCAAGCCATATCAAAATTATGCCATCAATTTGTTGCGCCTTAACTACCGGTGATAACTAAGACCGATATGATTAATGCGATTAGTCTTAGTTCAGAAGTATGTTAAACACCATAGAATTAGGCCTAATAATAGTTAGTTAGAGACTGCTTAAATTCGTCCCATGCATTTACTCTTTATCTTTTATCGATCTTGAGTCTCGGTATTCTGTCATACTTACGTTTCTAATCTATCTCTTTAAACTATGCTCTCAAGACTAATTCTTGGTTTTCATTATTGCCACTAAGTTTATAGCTCGTGTTATCTTCATCTCGCGTTGATGTGAAATAATAATCCGAGTCAACTCACATTTGTCCCAGTTTCTACTTTCAATATAGCTGACTGTCCAACTTGACAGTTTATTTTAAACTTTTACCTTTAGTAGAGGTCGGGCTTTTGTGATTTCTGGGGTATACCATTTTCAAATAGGATAAAAACTTGTATTGATGGATGCAAACATTTTCATTTAATTTTTCATCCCACTGATGTTCTTGATTGTTTTATGGGCTTTAAGATATTTCCATTTCTTTTTCAGATCCTTTCTCACAGCTATTTGCAGCATATATTATTCTGTTTGGGTACCATTCCCATTTCGGATTTTAACCGTTGTTACTGATACACTTCTGGTTATAAAATGAGTGACGACGATCAAGTTGTACGACAAAGAACAGTAAGTTCCATCTGGATATGAGTATTAGCGATATATTTACAACTTCGTAAACATATAAACTTACTGTACGATGTACTTTTGCCCATAAAATTTACTAGGTTTTATTATTGTCTGTGAAATAGTGCGGGGGATCAAGACTAATTTTCATTACTATTTATGTTATGCATTAAAGTTAATCATCTAGGTAGCTTCATGCTAAGTACGTGTTTAGGTCAGACATTTCCTGATATACTCAGGGTTTGGAGGCTCTTCTCTTTGGTCTCTGTAACATTACGGGGTTTAGTGTATAAGATTGTTAAATTACTATATTGAATATGGGTTTCTTATTATCCAAACCAATGATGCTCATGGGCTCCAGGTTCCTGAGAGGACGAATGGCGTATGAACCTATTATTAGTCATCGGCTACTATCGGACTATCTCCTTATGTTGCTCCTTTGCCTTGTAAATCGGACCGTCAGGTCAAAGGCTCCGGGTGTGGAATCCCAGGAAAACCACCTGTTTCGGTCTGAGCACCCGGGCAGTATCACAGCCCTCACACAAATCAGTGATAATTGCTACTGGCCTCACTTTTATTGTGTGATGCATATCTATTTGGTGCCCCCTTGTGCCAATGTTTATGTTTGCAAAAAAAAACAAACAAATAAGCCATTTTTGTCCCATATTTTTTAAATCAAGCATAATAAAACATTGTCACTAGTTGACTTGGAATATGCCGATGACATAGTTCTATTTGGTGAAGACGGTGACAAAATGCAGAGTCTTCTGACCACTCTAAACAACAATACAAGCATGTTCGGGATGCGATTCTCCTTCTCGAAATGAAAAAATGTTTCTTCAGGATTGGGTTGCATTGACACCCGAACTAATGATAGGGAGTGAAGTAATTGAGCGTGTCTATCGCTTCACTTATCTTGGAAGTCTCATCAGCCCTTGTGGTCTAGTATGTGACGAAATCAGCACGGATACAGAAGGCTAGGCTAGCTTTTACCAACTTGTGTCATTTATGGCGTAGGCGAGATATCCGTCTATCAACCAAAGGACGTGTTTACTGCGCAGCAGTTCGTTCCGTCTTACTTTATGGCAGTGAAACATGGCCGGTAAGAGTAGAGGATATTCGTAGGTTACTAGTATTTGATCATAGGTGTCTTCGAAACATTGATCGTATATCATGGGACCATCGAGTAAGTAACACAGTTGTTAGGAAACGGGTACTAGGTAAGGATGGCAAATCAATTGATGACCTAGTGAAACTTCATCAGTTGAGATTGCTGGGACATGTGTTACGTATACTCAACGACCGACTGCCTCGATGTGCGATGTTTGTTGTATAGGAGAAGATTGGAAGAAAGCTAGGGGCGGCCAGACCAAAACATGGCACAAGTCCATGAAGTCACTGATAAGTAGACTGAGTCATATTGGTAAGTGTAGACTACCTGGTTGGGGACTGCGGGATGATAGGAACCGATGGTTAGAGACCCTGAATGACATGGCTCAAAATCGTTTGCAATGGCGCAGGTGCATCCACTCTTTGTGTTCTCCCAAATTCTAATCTTCTGAATTCTTCATGTCCCTTTCTTCTTTCTCTTTACAAATTTATTTCACTGGATTATAACATTTTCTGATTACAGCTTATAATTTTACTACATCCAACACTATGGGATTTGAGTCGACCACTGCATCTCTGTGCTAATGTGGTGTGGCAACTCGAACTGATGTACGTACGTACGAAGTTCTACGTTGTTACTGACTGACTGTATGATCATAATTGTACATAAAATCCTGTTCTCAAATTAGTATAGATTGTACCAAGTGTCAAAAATGATTTAGTTTTAATCATTACCTTTTCTCCCACTAGAAATACAGGATACTTTCCATTTTGTCGCTCCGAAGTACCCCTTAGACCAATACAAAATCGTTTCTGATACTTGAAGGCACTTGTGGTCACGTTTAAATGATCCAATATCTACCTATTCTATTATAGGCGTGTGTTTGCAAGTTAACTAAAAATATGAATTCATAGCTATAGTAAGTAACATTGTCGAAAAAGAAAGTTTCTTCCCTAAATTATCTTAGTTTACTGGAGTTTTTCTAATGGTCACCGTCATCATATCCAGCGAATGTTTGAGCTTCTTCTGTCATGGGAATTTTCAATAATTCGAATGTCATCTGATTGTGCAAAATAAAAAACACGATTTTTTCATTAGGGGTTTGCCTAAAGACAATGTTACTTGCCACTTATATCAACCTCTGCACACTATTAATCGTTCACATTGACAATCTAAATGTAACGAATTATTTATAGAAATATTGGTAATATCATCTGGTGTCGTACATCTACCGATTTGTTTTGAAACCTATTACAAGATTAACATTATTAGTTCATGATGAGTATTCCTAAATAATTACATCCCAACTGTTGCTGCAGCCTTGACTTGATGCTTGGGTCTGTCTGTCACTATTGCTTAGTCGTGCTGCACTGACTGAAGCACTCGTTTTTCTAGGTCCTACCGTGGCAGTTAGACTGATTGCTGAGCGGTGCGACTAAAAGTCTCAAACCTGACTTTCGAGAGCAAAGTTGTACTCCTAACTGTATGGTAGTATGGCGGGTGTAAGGTGTCCTGCTTGTGCAACTAGCATTCGCACAGATAATGTCTCTCCACAACCGAAGGTTGGTCTTCAAAATAGCACATCTCATCTTGCCTCGTGGATTTTCGTTGCCAGTAGTAAGTTCTTTAAAGTGCAGAACTAACGTGCCAAGTACTTATGTAAAGGCCGTGTATGACCGATTCCAAGCAGTTTTTCCTTGAGTTCTAATGGTACACTTCCAGATGGTCAGAACAACACCTGTATCAGTTCCTCTTTTAGGTTCCTCACTTAGTGGCAATCCTTCTCATACTTGTATCTTCTGTATTTTCTTAAATACAATAATTTTGAAGTCACAAATTACTCAGCCTAAAAGACTGAAACCTAACATCAGACTCTACATTTCGTACTTAGTGATAACTGTCTTCCAAAAATTGTCATACAGTGGAATCACCAAGTAAGCAAACTTGAACATGTTTTTGAAGAGATATAATTACTTTTATAGGAGTATTACTAACCTGGAGCAAATGACTCAATTTAGTCGTTATGTGATTCATTTCCCACCTCACATCTTGCTCTGACTTGTTATGTTGATTTAAATGAAAGTTGTTTGAAAAACGTTTATTAGTGTTTGGAGTAAGAAATCACAACTGTCTGTTAAATTTCTGGCTATTGTTCAGAGCGTATAAGGTTACTATAAGCTTCATACATTAAAGTCTTTGAAATAATAAAGATTTGTAGATGTTTGCATGAAATAGGTTATCAGTTAATAATGATATTTTGAATTCGTTCCTTATATTCGAAACGTAACTTCGGTCCATTAAGTCACTGACTGTTGGTCTGAACCTTGTCGATTGATACAAACTAATTGATTGGGTTCCATGTGATATTCGTAATCATTGATTGACATAGCTCGGAATCAGTCACAGTAGCTCACTCATCTTTCTTCAAACCTTGAGTTTCAGTATTTCTTTGTTCATAGCTTTTCATTATGTCTTTTCAAGTTATACTTTCAATGCTTAATTATTGTAATTATTTGGATCCTTTCGCAATTCATCTTGTTAACTTTATCTCATCGTTCTATCACGTTGTATGGTAACTTGTATCAACGCACATTTATGATAGGCTCGACATCAGTTATGATAAAACTAACTAACCTTGCTCTTTAGTAAAGTTTTCATTACCTTAACAGTATAGTTTGTAACTGGAAGTAATATTAAAGGGCTGTGATTTAGTCATTTTCTCTGTTTCTCTGTTTTTTTCCCATTCTTCATCAGGGGGATGTTGTAGAACCAACTACTATTACTGCTTCTTCGACTACTTCTAATACTATAAATATCGATACACAAGATGATGTATTAAACGCTAAGAAACAAACAAGCGATGATGATGACGATGATGAACCAATTGATCCAATTAGACCGGATTTTGAAGCCGCTGAAAAACTACATCAAGGTACAAGTCATGTACCGCCAATAATTGATTTCTTAAATAAATTTCTTCCACCACGTTGGGTTAATTGGACTGTACGATTATTTACAGGCCTACTATTAATTTCAGGATTTACACTTCTTATTTACTTGGGTCCATTGGCATTAGTACTTATGGTAAGTGTTGTATATGATAAGTTATTTATTTATTTTTCTGTTACCACTAAACGATTGATCAGAGTTTGTCAACTTCTTAGCATTAGCAACTAATTACTTATCGTTGATTTTGTCATAATTAAGTCCATGAGGAAACTATCATTGCAACAAGCGATGGATTTTTTTTTATCCAAGTAGGTGAATTTCAAAGAATATATGTATAAAACAAGTACATGAGTATGAATGTTAATGGTGCTATTTGGTTGCCAAAAGTCAAGTAGATAGAGCAGAGTTTGATTCCGAAACATAGTGACTGAAAGTCGAACGCCTTAACCATTAAACCAACATTAAACTATTGAAATAAAGCTGGAGATAGCTAAACCAAAATGTTGTACTAGTCCATGAATTCACTGGTTAATGAACTGAGCTATGTTAATGGGTGTGTAGACTACCTGGTTAGGGTCTACTTTGATTATCGCAACAGATGATCAGAGACTTTAAATGACATGGCTAAACATCGTTCTCAATAGTTAAAATGCATTTACTCCTTATCTTTCCTTAGAACCTCGGTCACGAAATCTCTTTATATATTTTTATTCTTTCTATACCTAGTCTTTTCTACCAGTGCTGATACTTTTACTATTCCTACTATTCTGGAATTTGTCTTAAAAATAATTTTATGTCGCTGTACTAATGTGGTATGGGAACTTGAACCGATGCACATGTGTCAGGTTGCATTTGATTCACTGACTAATCAATTCTCTTTTTTCGTTGGCCGATTTTAAATGTATGTACTTGGCTTTGAGTAACATTGTTTGTCTGTTTAAGAACCTACTTACTTACGCCTGTTACTCCCTATGGAGCATAGACCGCCGACCAGCATTCTCCAATCCACTCTCTACTGGGCAATTCTTGTTCATTTTACTCATGTCTATTTCCATTTCTCGGCATAATGCCTTCTTTGGTCTTCCTCTTTTCCCTTGGCCTTGAGGATTCCATGTGAGGGCTTATCTTGTGACACAGTTCGGTGCTTTCCTCAATGTGTGTCCTATCCACTTCCAGTGCTTCATTCTGATTTCTTCCTCCGTTGGGATCTTGTTTGTTCTCTCCCACAGTAGGTTGTTGCTGATAGTGTCTGGTCAACGGATCAGAAGTATTTTGCGTAGAGAGCTGTTAATAAACACTTGTATCTTGTGGATGATGGCTTTCGTAGTTCTCCAGGTTTCTGCCCCATACATTAGAACTGTCTTGACATTTGTATTGAAAATCCTGACCTTGGTGTTGGTTGACAGAGAGTTGTTTTGAGTTCCAGATGTTCCTCAGTTGTAAATATGCTGCTGTTGCTTTGCCGATCCGCGCCTTCACATCTGCATCAGATCCACCGTGTTCATCAATGATGCTGCCCAGATATGTAAAGGTTTTTACACTGTGTAAGAACTAGTAATACTGATAATCGGTTGTCCAAGCCGAAATAGTTGAGTTATTGCTTGAGTTGCCAGCCTACTAGTTGGTTGCCAAGTGTTTCAACTGTTAACTTATCAATGCTTAAATAATTGATTAATCCAGATTTATCTTTGGATATGTCTTGTTCTTGAATTCTTAAATATCAGCTTTCTAACTGCCTCCCGGTTCATGAAAGTCTTTCAATCTTGAGGCCAGAAAAAAGCCTAAGACAGGAAGTAATGAAGAAGATTCACTGTAAAAGGATATATATGGGATCATGTGTAACCTTGAGATCCTGGAAGTTTTTCGAAAAGAAGCTGAAATCAGTAACTAATTTGGTAATTGCTTAATCAATGTAAACAGAGTATAATAAATCGTTTTCCAGATTTATCATGGAGTCTTCTAGACAAGATAATCTCGTAAAATCTCTTTAATGTTTTCTCGGAATTCATTCATCCATACGGGTACAGAGAATTTTGACTCGAGATAAGCTCTACTCTTGTTCACAATGTTGACTTAGCACCTAGCAACCCCTTCTTCATTTACTTCGTTCAAACCACAAGTGCCGAAAATAAAAGGATCCTCAAACTTTCCACTACTCATGGTATTCATTAAGGGTTTATTTATAAAGTCATGAAAAATGTAGCTTTCTACGACGAAAATACCACTTCATCATGCTACAGACATGTTAAGTGTAGTATAGTCAGTCATAATGGTAAAAAAAATTACAACCCAGTAAAAGTCAAACCTCCAAAATATCTACCATTAAGTGAATAAATAAATAAAAACATGACCGTAATTACTATGATACACTTAAATGACTTGACAGTATTTACCCCAGTCAGAAATTTTTAACATTTTAGCTAATGTCAGTTTGTGATTAAAACTCTAAACCTAACCATAAATAATATGAGGATTCTCAAAACTCTGTTTGAATCCTGATAAAATTTCACGTAGATAATCTCTTCTTACGAGGACAGCTTCATATGTCGTTGGTTTTTTGGGAAGAAATTTACAGACTGTTCTGACTTATGGCCGCCCACTAATATCACATGACAAAACCACCAATCAGAATATCAATTTCTATAACTTCGTATCTGATCTGACCAATCACATGACGACCGTCACTAGTAGCTTTTATTCAGTGCTAAGTCCTTAGTGGCACTTGATCTGGTGGCTTCTCTTCCTGATCATTAAGTCCAGATAATAGCATTTAGTCTCCACTAGACGAATATTATATTTCACACATACATAGTTTACACACAAACAGACCTGACCACATCACACCATAAAATGAAAAATGACAATTATACATGGTCAAGACAAAAAGTGGCTGTAAGGGAGACTGTGAATAATAAACTAGCTACTAATGAAGAACAGCAGATCATAGAATAGTAGTTAATAGGTTAATCAAAAACTCACGATAAAAGGAATATAGATATATCACAATCTGACTACGTAATAATTATACAATTATATATATAAATTAATTCTGATAGTTACTATTCATTTAGTTTTCGTTGGATATAACATTTGGTGGCCCAATATTTTGATTTTGTCCTCATTTAAATCGGAAGATGTTCGTCGTAGGGCTCACCAATTTTGGTGGCCCGTGGATCTGACTCCAAGATCGTATAAATGTTGTTTGTTATCGCCTATTCTCGTATGTCATCGTCGACTTAAATCGCGTTATCCAATAACAAAATTAAATAAGTCGAATAACGAGAATTGACTTGAGAATACATATATTTCGTATATGAAGCGAATGAAACATAGCAAGGCAAAGTGACACGCATGGAAGATGGCTGGGATGCCAACTCCCTTTTAGTCAAGCATTACTCAATATTTATAGTCAGACAAAATAAAGCTACAGACATGTGATTAATGGTATAAGAAGGGCACACACATATACGCTCATATAAAAACAGTCTAGATTGATAAGCGAATAAATAACAAGGTCAAAGTATTGCTCGAGTAGAATGAATAGAATGGGATGTCCGAAAGCTAGAATAAGGTATATGGGCTTAACATAGTAACTGACACTACAAACACATGACTAACCAGTAGATGACTTTAATTAACATAAATTTTGTTGATACTTTTGTTAAATGAGGAGTATTTTTTTATTTGAACACATAGATATTGGTACAAGGTGGCACCAGTTACATATGCGCCACACAAATCTTATTTGATTTGTGTGAAGGCTGTGATACTACTCGGGTGCCCAGACCGAAGCAGACGGTTTTCTTAGGGGGCCATACCCGGAGCCTTCGACCTAAAGGTCTGATCCACAAGGCAGTGGAGCATCGTGAGGAGATACAGTCCCATGGTAGCCGGTCACCAATAATTGATTCATACGCCATTTGTTACCTCAGGATTCTGAAGTTCATGTGCACCAATGGTTTGGAATCAGGGATTTCCAATTGTCCTAGGTGGACTCTCCGTGTCCATCAACCCAGTTAAAGTGTGGGACATTCGCTTTTCGTCCTCTCAGTTTCATAAATAACACCGGTGCCGCGAGAAGGCAGTGAGTAGAACTTCCCTGACAGTGGTTGTATGCACGTGGCCATGTGAGAGCATTTCGAGAGGGAGAGCTGACTCTCTTTACTCTTTGCCGTACCAGGGGGAGGAGGCGTCCCACAATAGGACGAAACAGCCATCCAGTGCTTCCAGGTTTTCTCTGGTGGTCTAGCTTCAATTGAATCATGATCTCAACTATTGAAATTACTACAATCTTTACAAAACCCCTTCTGATACAAATGATTATTTACCATAACTTAAACTATACATTTGTAGTTGTCCCATTTTTTTCCTTATCACCGTATCGATTGGTTAAGAATTAATTGAAAATTCGTATCAGTTGTTTTTGTTTTAAAACTCATCCCTTTATTACACACTTGTCTAAACTAGAATTTATTCTTGTTATAATAATAGTAATAAATTTAAACGAGCTTTATCAAGTATGAATCCACCATTTTTCGCTTATTAAATTATGAGATAAGTTTGTATTGTATTCAACTTGGATCAATCAAATGGTTGCTTGTACTTGATCGATTATTTTGTACTTAAATAATTACCCTGCGGATTAGTTGTTACTATGGCTGTATGTATGTGTGTATGTGTATGTTATAGAGAAAGTTTTAAATGATTTGATATGATGAAAATTTCAACTGTCAAAAATAATAATTAAATTACTAGTTAATGAATGAACTCAAGGATATAATGTGTAGTGTAATCAAATAATAATTACTCACAACACTGTAACATTACTGTAGGCGCTTCCCTCTTCATCCACCCTAAATGAATCGAAATAAAAGATGAGAGACTACTAACCAGATATGTAGTTATATTTTGTTTTATTTACTAGAATGACTATGAGCACAAAATAAATCTGATAAAATATTATGGATTATTGAAGGAAATCAGTTTTTAGTTCAATTATCCTTCAATCAATCAATTATTATCTTACTGTTAGACTATTTTATCAATGCGGGGAGGGGGCTACATTAATTTTAACATAATAGAATTTTGTGATCTGATCCCTGTTTGATCTATTCATTTTTAGTTTTTAAACAACTAGGCAGGTCACCATCGATAATGAAATAGGTATAAATAAATAAGAACTATCAGAATGAGAGGGATTTGTGGAGATTGTAGTAATTTTTTTCGATAGTTGAATTCATGATTCGGTCTAAGCTAGAACACTATTGAAAACCTGGAAGCACTGAATGGCCGTTTCGTCTTAGTATGGGACTTCTCAACAGTGCACACATACGATCATGTATGCGGGACTCGGACCCAAGGCCTTCGGTCTCATGCGCGAACGCTTGTTTTCTAGACCACTGAGTCGGCATCCAACGGTGTTAATGTCTAACTTTAATCGATCCATGATCTTACGCAACCCTTCATCCATTGTCTGTTGGATACCAGCTCAGCGGTTTGGAAGTTAAGTGTTCACTCACGAGACCGAAGGACCTAGGTTCGAGTCCCATGTGCGGGATGAATAAAAATTAGTTATATTAAATTATCGACACTTATTTCCTCATTTTCACTACAATTAATATTTTACGAAAGGGAGTTTTTACGGATTGTTTAAATTGAAAGTAATTTTGTTTATGAAATGGATTCAGTTGATATATCATGGAAACAGTCTGCAGTTGCTTTCATCCTAAGTTGAAGCCTCTTCACAAAGTCGATTGTTATACATCACTTCGAAGAATTATTATCATCAATGGCTGAACAACTATCTGGTACTTTTTGATTTTCAATGAGTCTTCCGGTTGTAAACGGTCCATCATACATCCAACGATGGTTGCTACTTTTATGCTAGTGGCCAGGCTTGCATATCGTAATCATCCAGTCGAAATATATTAGTTAGAACACTTGTTTCTTTAGGTCCTACCATGCCAGCTATCTCTCTCTCTTGTGTTTTAACATTGTTGTATATTTTATTTTCCATGAAAACATCTGTTTCTCTCTGGTATATGCCTAATATTTTCTATTACCATTGGTACACTGTTACTACTATATAAATTACTCTGGTATGTATCATAATAATTTTATCTCTCTGTGCCGATACAATGTAGCTTTTGAACCGGTGCACAAACGTGTCGTTTCTACACTGTTTAGGACCTCCTGAATTCATATCTCAAGAAGCTGTTTATTTATTACTATCTCATTTGTATACAAGTTTATGCTCTTCCCCTCTTCTTCAAAAATTATCGGATATGATATGAAAAGATAACTTTTGAATATCTCTACTTTTGTAACTTCGATACACACACAAAAATTTCAATAAATAAGGCTTTATTAATAGCATCATGTGACGGATTAATTTTATCACAGAAACATTGGCTATGAAATGGTAGATGTATCCATTGTTTATTGTTGTGTCTCTGTTTTCATGTGTTTGGATTTGGTTACATTATCTATTCCAATCAGATTAAAACGTGATCATCGTTTTCAATGTGGATTTAAATGAAATCAATCTGGATAGGATTATGTAGCAAATCGAGGCGAAATTTCATCCATCCTTTTCAATCTAATTTAGTATTATACAATCAGTAGTGGGTTTTGTTAATCGTAAGTATTAGTGTGGTGGACCCTACTTACAAGATTGCTTCTAAGAAGTATGCAGCGAAGTGTCGCATGGGAGTTACTACAGTTAACCGAAGATAGGAGTCTCAAGAAGCCTAAAGCCTGCCGAGTTCAGGATACTTTTGAGACTGGAAGAGAAGCTATATAAGGCAGCCTACAGTCAGCTTGTGTTTCGGAACACACATTAGATGCAAATGAAGGATTGAAGAATAAGTGTATATATTTCATAAATAATCTGTGTTCTCTGTAAATTAATACCATCTGAACTTTACTTGTTCTTACATTACGGTAGTAAGTAGAGTACACGACAGACATCATTAAATCTTGCTTCAATGTTTAATTTCTATGAAATTTCTATCCACCATAACTAGTAGTTTGATATGTTGATTATTTTAATATTAGGAAATTTAAAATTGTTATTCATGATTAATATTATAATAGACATAAGCAGATAAGCTAAAAAGATAAAATAAATGCAAACATGGGTTTGCAAATCATAGATGTTACATTTTTATCATAGGAAAAGTATTATTCAGTGGTTTAATCAGTTAAGATCAGCTTGGTTTTTCTACATCAAATTTAGTGTTCGCCAGTGTAGCAGCAGTCTCTGCATCAGTAGGCCTCAGCATACACAAGGAGGGAAAGCCAAGGTCCTCAAATTCAAAACGGAGGACAGCAGTCCGATCACTCTTGATGGCGAAACTCTGGAAGATGTAGAATCCTTCACATACCTAGGAAGCATCATCGATGAACAAGGAGGTTCAGATGCAGACGTAAAGGCGAGGATTGGAAAAGCAAGGACAACATTCCTACAATTGAAGAACATATGGAACTCAAAACAACTTTCAATCAATATCAAAGTGAGAATCTTCAATACGAACGTCAAGGCAGTTCTACTGTACGGAGCTGAATCTTGGAGAACTACAACAACCACCATCAATAAGGTACAAGTATTTATAAATGGTTGTCTACTCAAGATACTCAACATTCATTGGCCGGATACCATCAACAACAGGCTTTTGTGGGAGAGAACAAACCAGCTTCCAGTTGAAGAAGAAATTAGGGAAAGACGATGGAAATGGATAGGACATACATTACGCAAATCGTCAAACTGCATCACGAGTCAAGCCCTAACTTGGAACCCTGAAGGGAAGCGGAAAAGAAGAAGACCAAATAACACATTACGTCGGGAAATATAAGCAGATATGGAAAGGATGAATAACAACTGGAAGGAGCTGGAAAGGATTGCCCAGGACAGGGTTTGATGGAGAATGCTGGTGAGCGGCCTATGCTCCTTCACGAGGAGTAACAGGCGTAAGTAAGTAAGTAATAAAAAAAACATTCCATTATGATCTGACTGTAGCTGCTTGGATGTCATAATGATCTTATCAAGGTATATCATCTAGAACTTGTTCTTCTAGGTCTTACCATATTAACCAGGTTGGTTACTGAGCAGTAAACGTACATTTCAAGGTTTATGTCGTAATCCCGGATGTACATTGATGCGACAGCAGTAAAGTGTTTCCCTAATACAACCAGCATCAACTCAACAGATTTCTGTCAGTAGTTGTAATGTCTGTAAAGCACAGAACTAACAGATCAAAAACCACTCACATGAGGACCGTTTATGTGTGACTCACCTCAAGCAATTTTTCCTTCAGCTCTATGAGCGCACTCCCAGATCCTTGAGACTAACTCCTAATCCTAACCTACTTTAGATTTCAAGTCTCTTAAGATGAAATTACCTTACGTAGTAAATGTAGCGGGCAAGTAGCAACCATTCCTATACCTCTAACAACACTCGTGACCATCTTGAATGGCTAATTATGATACAACTATTGTTTAGATGTTCAAATTAGTAGTTTCCCGATAATGTTCAAATCCACAATATTTAGTGTTTGTAAATTAAATATTCCAATTGTTTTGTACAACAAATTTAACAAATTCTGTTATTATACTATACTTAGCTTTAATTTATTTTTCTACATAAATATAGGTTTTAGCTATTCAATTGGCTTGCTTCTATGAAATTATCAATATTGGTTATTTGGTTTATCGATCGCATGATTTACCTTGGTTTCGATTATTATCATGGTATTTTTTGTTTACATCAAATTATTACTTATTTGGTGAAAGTTTAATCGCCCGATTTCGATTACTTTTAGCTAAAGAAGTAAGTTTTCAGGCCATTAATTCGAAAGTACTAGTGATAGTAGTATTATTATGTACGTGTTTACACATTATGACCAGTCAATCTGTAGAATGATTAAGTAAACTGTTCAACTCTCCTACTTTCTATTTGTTTGCTTGTGGATATTAACTCGTTTTTTATAATTTTCATTACAGATGGACTTCGAGTGTGTAAGGCGGTTGATGGTAGTTAGTCAGTAGGAAATCCTACAATGACCTAGATTTTGTACTAGCTAACAATCATTAACAAATCATACTCGCAACTTCTCAGCGAATGATGCTTCTATGCAGGATGGGGACTTGGGTAACGCAGTTTCACAGTGTGAGGCAATACCAATGAGTTATCTGGACCTTAGCTGATTATAAATTATTTAGACCAGTGGTCGAAACGTTATAGGTTAAACACTGGTTTTCCAGATGCAGTTAGTCTTTGATGATGAAAACAATCTAAAAAATCTTCACATTCAGTCAACTAGTAGGTAACTTCGAAGAAGTTCATGACTGGTAGATTGAAGTTTAATTGTGATATTAAAACTGTAACGTTGGATGACCATCATACTACACTGTGGTAATATACACTAATAATTTACTGACTCAGCGATGACATGCTCACCTCGAAATCTGAAAGTCGCAGATTTAATCTCAGCCACAGTTATAGTTGTTCACACTGTTAAGGCAGTTTCAGGCCGATATGAAACAAATATTTATTGCTCCCTGCTTTTCGTCAGTTTAAGTCTGATTTCTGATGTAAGCTGTTTCATATTGTTTCGTTCCTCTTAGAATCGTAAAAGTAAATTATTCACGTAGTACAGATTTTATTCTTAATAGTTACCTTATATCTTCACACCAGATCATTTTCAGAATAATACTTCTTATAACTAATCAATCCATTATCAATTAGGTTCATAAGTCGGTTCGTCAGTCCACAAGGCAGTGAAGCAACGTAAGGAGATACAGTCCCATGGTAGCCTATGACCAACAATAGGTTCATACACGGTTTGTTTACTCAGGATATTGGAACCCATGTACACCATTGATTTGGAATCAGTGTTTTCCAACTTCTCTAAGTGGATCTTCCATATCCATGAATTGTGCCGAAAATTTATACTTAAAAAGATAGGAAACACCTTACAGTAAATCAAATAATGTCACAGATTTGTTTTAGATTTTATGACGTAAATTATCTCAGGTTTTTATGGATTATCGTTTAACATTGTTCTGAAGTAATATGAACTGCAATCCGATCTATCCAGTTCCTTTTTTTGTTGCTTTTGTTATCAGACAAGCAACATATTGTGTAGCACAGAGTAGAGTAATTCATCTTGTACATGGTAGATAAATCAAATCTTTGATCGACAATACTGTTTATAACTTTCCTTTAACCTATTCTATAAATATGAAGTTGAACCATTAAAAAAGTAGATCACATCAAGACGATCACAGATACTTTGTTGATGCTCCTCTACTCATGTATGTGTGATGAGGTCATTAGTCATTGATTGTTGAGTTTAACGTTAGGGTTGTTCACAATTTAGACAGCATTTTGAACTAAACGCTTTTTTTGTAGACGAGAGGTGGAAGGAAAGTGTAATTCAATTGTATGTGCTTTATATTCGATAAAATCATCGTAGTTTCAGTGTCTAGGTTTGCTATTATTAAAGCGTAAACATATAAGTTTGAAAAAATATTAACTGACATATTTGAAGTTCTACTCCTTAAAAGAATGTTCGATATACTCTACCGGTAGGTACGATGAAAATGTATAGAGACGTTTGTGGTTGTTACGTCCTTGATTTGTCTACCCACCAATATAAAGAAGATAACTTGTCTCAATCTAGATTAAGACCTTGACATGATAAACTGTGTGGTTTAACCTTGAGGCTAGAATCTCGTGAATTTGAATTGAGACTAACTGCCTTGTGTAGAGAGACGAAAATTATTTTATCACCTGATTGGTTGACAAGCGCGCGCACGAGAGAGAGAGAAGACAGGCCGACTGAAACACTACTCGGTTTATTCCCAATTCCGATTCGCACTCCGATCTGGTTCCGATTCAGATTAGGAAAAATACAATTATGTCCAAAACTGGGGATTACGGTAGGAAAATAGAGTAACAAAGGCTATGTTTAAATTAAAATAAATTTGGAACGCAAAAGAGTATGGCAGTGAATCAAACGAAAGCTTATGGTTTATATAATAACCTAGGGATAAAGCGAAATGTTAGTATTTTACAAGCTTCATTCAGTGAGTGGGCGCTTCCAATTAAAGTGTATCTATAATTAAAAAAACGAAATATTTCCGTGTCAAGCCTTATAGTTTACTGTAATTATGTACTTTCTTTTGTCATTGAGTATGTCGGATTTCACTACACTATTGATACATGTACTTATCAGACAATTGTAACACAACTCTAGACGCTTAATATGAGTTTTCTGTTAGAGAAAAAAAAGAAAAGTCACACTATTATCCAGCAACTCACTTATTAAATAACAATCTCCACAATCCTGTACTGATAGTTATCATATACCCACTAGTGACTAGCCTCAAGAAAGAATTTTCGGAGTCCTAATGAACAAACGTGACCAATGGAGTTAAACAATGTCAGGTATGACGCATTTACCCACCAAAGACAATGAAAGATGGGCTCACTATACCATGGATTGATTGAAGTTAGGCATTAACACCATTGAATGCCGACTCAGTGGTCTAAAGGTCAATCGTTCATGCACAAAACAGGTCATTTGTTCGATTCTCGCATGCGGGTCGTAAATGCACACTTGCTGAGGAGTCCCATACTGGAACGAAACAGCTGTTCAGTGCTTTGAGGTTGGTCAATGGTAGTTTAAGGTTGATTGGATCATGGTTTCAATGAAACTCAACAATCTACACAACCTTATACTGATAAAAAAAAACAGAAAAATGACAAATCATTTGAAGCAACACATACACACGTGCTTGTGTATGCGTAGATTTTTCTAATAGGAGAAATATATGCACACAAGTAGAGACGTACAACCGTTTCCATTTTGTTGGTTATTCTATGTTTCTGTTTTTTTTCGTTGATCAATTAGGATTTTCTACAACCATGGATAACTCATCATCAGTTTATTTCATTTTCATTATATTGTGCTGGGATTGTTGCATTTGTTCTAAGTTTAGTTAAAAGGCATTATATTAAACAGTTTACTTTGGTAAGTAAATATTAATCTACTAATGTATCGTTTATTCATTGTATTTATTTATTCATAGACGGTAATTAGTGTGACAGTTGTGCTATATTACTATATTGAAACCTTAAATGGAAATATTAAACCATAGTCTAAAACTGAAAAAGCGATTTTCAGTGGTTAAAATGTTTGATGTTTAGTTACTAAAACTCACAGTTCCGAACCCTGTTTGATCTTTTTCGGTCTCGATACGTGTATACTAACATTAGCCTTTACACTTAATATGTAACTAGAAACTAATTACACGAATCTGTATCGAGTAAATGAATCACATACACACATTTTTTCTGTGTGAAACATGAAGGTAGTAACTTCAAATCTTGGCAGCATGTCGTAAGTGCACGCTGTTGCTAAAGAATTCCAAATCAAAATAAAACAACTATATCCACTCATTTTTATAGTGTTTGCCCTCTCAAGTTTAAATTTTCAGTCATTATTGAAAAGTCTCCTTCATATATTGTTATTTTCCATTTAAGGTAATACAGTCAGTCTGTTTAGTCTCATTTCCTGTGTTTGTTCTCTAGACAATTTTATGGAAGTTTAACATGTCTTCTGTAGAGGTAGAGTTAATCATAAGGTATCATTGATTATTATGGAAAAAGTTTTGTATGAGGTTGTGAATTTCATTGGAATTATGGGCCGATGTAAATTAGACCACCATTTAAAAAACTGAGAACACTGGATGGTGTTCTGGCGGATGACTGAAGTTCCTGAGGGTGATTCCCGCGTGCAGGATTGTGGATGCGTGCTGTTGAGAAGTTCCACATTAGGACTAATCGATCGTTCAGTTCTTTCGGGTTTTCAGTGATGATCTAACTTAGATCGGTACATGATTTCATTTTCATAAAACTATTGATCATCAAGGAACACCACTAAACGGTTTTCTCGTCTTGGTTTTTTGAGATCCTATTTATTCACAAGTTATGTGGTTACACTGCGTCATAATAGCTATTAACCAACCTATTTAACGAATGTGATTATTTATTATTAATTAAAACTGTATTCAATTGTACATCCAGTGAAGAGGTTGGTAACTATTATGTGAGGAGGAACCCTTTCGTTTAACGAGATGGATGTTATGGTGTGAAGTCTCAGCAATAACACTTGGATATATATATATATATATATATATATATATATATATATATATCTTCCTTCAAATAAGGCATCCTAGATGCACATGAGAGGTTTTAACTACTGTAAATGTTGGTTACAACCAATATCATTTCAGTGAGAGAGACAGGATTCAAAAAGGAAACTAAAGTTCTGAAGAATTCATTATACTGTAAAGTACAGGTGAAAAAAGAAAAGTTAATTTTCAATGTTACATTTCTCTAAAATTACGACCATCATATTTGAATTGTCTCGTATAGTTCAACTAAATCAGTTTATTATTCAGCGACTTTATAATTTATGAACGAATCAATCAGATTTAGGATAACAAGTTTTGAATTTTGGCTCGAAATTCATTCACTCATTTGACCGAATACCATTTTGGCATTACAGCTGATGTCAGTCTGTAATGAAAATCCTAGATCTAGTTCTTAATTTTAGCCATCAACTCTAAATCATAAATCTAATTCCTCAAGTTAATTCATAACGCTCATTTTGCCCTTGTTAGTAGGTGGAAATTCTCAAGATCACTTTAGCATGGCTCAAATATCGTTCATAAACCATAGTCTCATCTATTATTCAACGAACTGACCATTAAACATTTTGAAAATACTGACATACGTAGATAGATAAGTTATGTCGTGACAGCCATTTCATTCAATGATATTTATCCTTCACGGATAATAATAATAATAATAATAATAATAATAATAATAATAATAATAATAAGCTTACATTAGTTAATTACCTCAAAAATATTTTAAAGTTCTAGTGAGAAATCGTAGCTGGTGAAGTTTATACCTATCGAGTGTGGAATAGTTGCTACCAATGTTATTGAACGATCACAAATCGATTGAAATCGGTCTTGTTCTATTAGATACTGACCTAGTTGTTTTAATGATTAAGCGTTTGGTGGGAGGACTGAAATTATTGAATTCACTTCTTGTCAAATTCATAAATGTGCACTGTTAATAAAGTTCCATACTAGTGTAATGAAGGAAGATTCGGGTGAGGTAAACCAATTTACTTTATTAAGCAAGCTCACACATTACATCTGTAAAATATAAAAACAATACATTAAATACGTCATTTGCACATCTTCCTTGATTTGTCTCTTAAAAGCTCTATTATTCTCCCATTCCTATTACTATTTCTTTCTGTTCTCCTCATGTTCCTCTTCTATCAGTAAGAATCCTACTTCTAATTCTTGATGCATACTACTTATATCTCTCCGTATAGGTAACACACGTTACACTGGAACGAACTAGTTATCCAACGCTCTCCACTTTTCAATGATACCCTTACTGAAATCAATATGTAACGAATATTACCAATAAATTAAGCTAATCTCCATAAAACACCTTCAAATAAATGTCTTGATTTCTGTAGAGAAAAAGGACCCTAACGAATTACAAAAATGCAAATGGTATAATTTGATTTTATCAGTGTCAATGATTATTTTTCTTAAAAGTTGATAGTCTCCTGTAAAACCATATCAATTGTTGTCCTATAATTTCTTAAACTAGAACTGTTTCTCTCTCTCCTTAGAGTAAGTAAATAATATGGCTTGAATGTGTTCTTGGTGTTGAGTTATGCTAATTTCTGCAAAAGCTAGTGATGATACCACATCATGGTTACTTCAACTTAATTAGGAAGAGAAGTAGGGTTACACTTTGTAACTAATTAGGTAGTTCATTTATTGTTGAATATGACTATTTTTTTTTGTCAGTATAGGAGGCTTGTGAAGATCGTTAGATATTACTGAGATCACAAATAAACCACAGTTAAGTAACCATTGAAAGGAAGGAAACATTTTACGGATGTTTCGTCCTGGTGTGGGACTCAACAGTGCACATCTGTGACCTCACCGAAGAGGATCAGATCCAGATTCTCTAGTTCTCACGGCGATCCCTTAACCTTTGACCCACTGGGTCACCACCCAATGATGTACATTTCTAACTCCAATCAATTCGGTATATTACCCAGTCATCTAATGCTATCGATGAATAACTGCCGCACACTTGATATGGTTGAAATTCTACCGGTTACGTCTTCTCATTAGAATTGCGGGAATTACCTCTCGGAATTAGTCTTTAATGAGCATATAATAATTTTCAGTATTAAGAGCATCGGTCTATTAGTACAGTGATGAAACTTTCTGAAAAATCTTTAAATGTTGGGTCCTATTCCCTTTGGTGAGAACATTGATACATACTTCTAAGGGGGAGTTTCATACCAGGATGAAACGGTTGTTCAGTGCTATCTAATTTTTCATAATTGTCTCATGAAGATCAGCTCGTAATCTTAATTTGTTCATTCGTTCTTTGCAAAATTATGCTTTTACTTTGTTTTTGTACGAATTATAGTTTGGATGGACTCATGTTACATTGCTTATTTTCGTTACATCATCTTATTTCTGTATTGAAAATATTTTCAATGGTTTAATTTGGTAAGTTAAAAATAACACGTTGATTTGTTTTTTTTTGTTCGTTGAAAACAAAGTTATGTACCGTTTACTATTAGGTCCAGTCGGAGTTAATTGTTAATGGTTATTAGAACTGTTAAACTCAGGTGGTGTTTCTGTGGGTTTCCCACTATCTCCTTTTATGTTTATACTAAATTGTAGATGATCCACTGGAAATTTTTTTCTCCTGGCTTTTCAGCGATCGGTCTCACTGATAAGTCTTCTAATTGAACGCTAGATTCGGTTCCTAAGGTCTTCCAGTAACACCCAGTCTAAATCTACTCAGCGACTTGAACACGAGAGGAAAGGCGCGAAATATGAAAGAACCGCTTTACTCCAAAAAGGTTCGTTAATGTACAGAAAATCTAGGGTTTTTATAGTATTTTAGATGGCTTTGTGTTTCCGGAGAATTCTGGAACGCTACTAAACATAGTAGCTGTATGTATAACCACACAATCAGAAACTCGACATGTGATTTCACTTTCTAGGTGTTTCTGATAAAACTCCTATTGAATACTGATTGGATAAGATGCCTCTCAATGTTTTCAGAGCCTTGTTTGTCTTTTTTTTCGGGTTTTATGGATCTCCCCAACGCTCACACTAGGAGGTTCGGTCATCAGTATACACAAATAACGTAGCCCTACCTGGTAATGACACTGATACAATGCACGTGTCACCTATGCCCAACCTACGTCGATGAGAAATGTTAGCTAGTGTAAGGATAAGCTGGTAGAAAGGTAGGTGCGGCCAAACCGAAGCATGGGGTCAGTCTATAAAGTTGCTGACCAATGGTCTAAATCATGTTGATAGATTCGAACTACCATCTGGTTGTAGTCTACGAAATAATTGTAATCAGTGGCTAGAGACATGGGGTGGCATACCTTAGAATTGGTCATGATTGGGCAGATACTTTCACTCTTTATGTCCCTCTAGATGTTGAGTTTCGAAATTCCTTCATATATACACTTTTACTTTGTCTTTTCCAATCATTTTCTCAATATCTCCTTGTTCTCATTATGTTGCTGCTACATCGTTTCGATTATTTGGTTACTCATCTTGCTACTTTGATCCCATCGTTATGATACAATATGAAAACTTGAGCTAATACAAATATGTGCCAAGTTCTATGTTGATTATTACTGACAGCCTTCGTTCTACTTTTATTATCATTATTTGAACAATTAAATATTGATGCAAAGAGGAAGTAAAATATGTATGCACCGCACAAATTATGGAATTTGTTTGTGAGCTGCGATACTATCTGAGTGCCCAGACCGAAGCAGGTGGTTTACTTAGGGAGCCGGTCTCCGAGCCTTTGACCTAGAAACCTAGTCTAAAAGACAGTGGGGCAACGTTAGAAGATAAGGCCTCATGGTAGCAGGTGATCAACCATGGGCTCATACGCCATTTCTCCCCAAATGCCCTGATACGGCCGAGAGTGGGAAGAGTCCGCTCTCCCTCTCGAAATACTCTCACACGGCCACGCGTATATAGCCTCTGCCAGGGAAGTCCTACTCACTGCCTCCTCGTGGCGGGGGTGTTGTTTACGAAAATGAAAAGACGAAAAGCGAATGTCCGGTGCTTTAACCGGATCCCAAACCAATGGTGCACATAGGCTCCAGTATCCTGAGGTAACAAATGGCGTATGAATCAATTATTGGTGACCGGGTACCATGGGAATGCATCTCCTTACGTCGCTCCACTGCCTTGTGGATCAGACCTTTAGGTCAAAGGCTCCGGGTGTGACCTCCTAAGAAAACCACCTGCTTCGGTCTGGGCACCCGGGCAGTATCACAGCCCACACACAAATGATGAACTGCCTATAATTATGGAAACTACTTTACTAGCTTCAACTAACAATCAAATTATTATTATTATTATTATTATTATTTACCACATTATTCACCTGTTTTATTCCTACTCTGTCCATACTTATTTTTTCGACTTACACAGCAGCTCGTCCTTGGTGGAAATTCGACTGTATCTAAACGTTCTCGAGTCACTGTCCGGTTGAAAATTGTATGTTACCATCGAATATGAGTACTGAAGCAGTTTTTCTGAAACCACGTGCGCCATTCAAACGGGCTGCCTTCAACGTTCGCACACTTATGCAGGTTGGTCAACAGATAGGGCTGGCTAGGTCTTTGGAAAGTCTTAATATCGACGTGTGTTGTCTATCCGAGACCCGTATTCAAGACTCTGGTGAAGTACTACAAATTCGCTCTCCATCTGTCACTTCAAAAAGCTTGTTTTACGTGCGCTTATCCGGGGACCCTGTGGCATCTTCGTCTGGTGTTGCTGGCGTTGGTGTCGCACTAAGCGCTAGAGCTGAGGCAGCACTAATCGATTGGATCTCCATTAACAGTCGGTTATGTGCTGTTAGATTAGAGAGTTCCATCTGGACTCTGACCATGCTTTGGTCTGCGCCAATCTTACCTTACTTTTCAGTGGACAACGAAGTGACCGCCACCAACGGATTGATGTTAGCAAGCTGGTTGCAACTTCTGTTGCAAGTAAGTATCGAACCGAGCTAGCCTCTAGGCTAGCTACCACTCCACCGAAAAGTATAGATGAGCATTGGTTGCAATTGCATGACGCCATGAAAATGGCGGGAACAGTCAGTTGTGGGTTTGCGAAACGTCCCGCTTTAAGCACTGGGTTTCTTCTGGTTCCTTACAACTCATTGAAGCCCGTCGGTCTACTCCGGGTGACCGTGAGTTTGACCATAAACGAAGGATGTTACGTAAGGAAATTGGGCAAAGGACCGAGAAGCCTGGTGGTCGATGCGTGCTAATGAGCTGGAAGCAGCAGCTGCATCTGGTAACTACCGGAAGCTCTTCCAACTCATCCGAGCCACTGGCAGCAAGAAGTCTGGTGTGAGTGAAACAATCTGCGAGGATGATGGGATGCCAATCACTAACATCCATCGACGTCTTGGACGATGGGCAGAATTTTTCGAAGGGCAGTTCAACTGGCCTGCTGCTCCGGCAACATCGGTCAGACTGTCCTGCCCTCCATGGCCGGTGACGACTGATCCACCAAATGAGGAGGAAGTCCGCAAGGAACTCCAACTCTTGAAGCGTTACAAATCACCTGGCCCAGATGACTTACCTCCGGCTCTTTTTAAAGATGGTGGTGACTTTTTGACTAAGGAATTGACGACGTTGTTTACAAAGGTTTGGGAACTAGAGAGTGTACCAACGTCATGGAATGAGTCGATAGTTGTCCCTATCTTTAAAAAGGGTTCACGTCGTTCCTGTAACAACTATCGGGGGATAAGTCTACTTCCGATTGCGTCCAAGCTATTGGCTTCCGTCATACTTCGTAGGTTGTTCAAAACCCGAGAAAGATTGACTCGCGAGGAGCAGGCTGGGTTTCGTTCTGGTCGAGGATGTATTGATCATATCTTCACCCTCCGCCAAATGTTAGAACACCGCCATACTTATCAAAGGCCAACAATCGTAGTGTTTCTTGACATCAGGGCTGCCTTCGATTCGTTGGACAGGACTGTTCTCTGGGATTGTCTATTGAAGAAGGGTGTGCCTGAGAAGTTTATTAACATCCTAAAAGCCCTGTATAAAAACACCTCAGGCAGAGTGAGGGCATACAACCACCTCTCTCCATTGTTCCATTCGAGCAGTGGGGTTAGGCAGGGTTGCCCAATCTCACCATTCCTCTTCAACTTTGCCATCGATGACATTCTGGAAACAGCTCTGATGAATGTAAGTAATGGTGGTGTGGATCTGTTGCCTGGAGAAAGACTTCTCGACCTTGAGTATGCGGACGATATTGTCTTACTGTGCGATAATGCCCAAGGCATGCAATCCGCACTTAATCAGTTGGCAATCAGTGTCCGTAGGTATGGTATGTGCTTTGCACCTTCGAAGTGCAAAGTACTTCTACAAGACTGGCAGGATTCTAATCCTGTACTCACCCTGGATGGTGAGCAGATAGACGTAGTCGAGAAGTTCGTGTATCTGGGTAGCTGCATAAGTGCTGGTGGGGGTGTGAGTGATGAGATCAATGCACGAATAGTGAAAGCCAGAGCGGCTTATGCCAATCTGGGCCACCTTTGGCGCCTTCGTGATGTTAGTCTGGCTGTAAAAGGTCGGATCTACAACGCGTCGGTGAGAGCAGTTTTGCTCTATGCTTGTGAAACCTGGCCTCTCCGAGTTGAGGACGTTAGACGACTCTCTGTGTTCGATCATCGCTGTCTCCGAAGGATTGCTGACATTCAGTGGCAACACCATGTCAGTAATGCAGAGGTTCGGCATCGTGTGTTCGGGCACAGAGATGATAATTCAATTGGTGTCACCATCTTGAAACACCGACTTCGGTGGCTTGGACATGTTCTCCGAATGTCGTCCCAGAGAATTCCACGTCGTGCATTATTTGCCGACTCTGGGACTGGTTGGAAGAAGCGGAGAGGTGGTCAGTGCATGACATGGTGTCGTGGCATGAAAGAAAGCTGCAAAGGACTGGCTTGTGTTGGTCCTTCACGACTCCCTGGTTGGGGTCCGAGAGATGGTGCTACACAGTGGCTAGAGACGTTATCAGATATGGCTCAGAATAGAAGCCAGTGGCGATCCTGCTGTAACCTTCTTTTACTTTCTTCATAAAAAGTGGTTGTGTCTTCCTTAACTGAAAGATTTCTTCTGATTGTATCTTTCCGTTCCCTCATTATTACTATTATTATTACTACACTACCTTACACCAATCTCCTTGTTATTGTTCTCTTTTTCTTACGCTCCTTACCTTTTTTTCTCTTCGAATTCTCATTGTTTTGTGTGGTGCATATATATTGGCGCTCTCTTGTACCAATATTTATGTGTTCAAATAAAATAGAATAAATAATAATAAAATAATCAGAATCCTGAAGGTCATGTAGACTATTGGTTCGGAACCAGAGTTTTCCAACTTTCCTAGGTGGATCATCCATAACCGTTAACTCGGTCACAGTGCCGGACATTTTTCCGTTTTCTTAG